ACTGCACTCCAGTCTGGGTGACAGAGTGAGACTCCAACTCAAAAAAAAAAAAAAGTCTTCAGTATTTACCTTATAAAGTTGTTGTGAAGGTCAAATTATGAATGTTAAAAAGCCTGATAAAATGTAAGTTAAAACACAGATGAGAGATATTACTATAATCTTTTGAAAGGTAGACAGACTTGTGTTATTTTTCCCATTGGTTGGGAGGATTGAGATTTTCTTATTTAAATGGGGTTTGGATTATAATTATGATCCTAATAATTTAAGTTAGCAAACTCTTCTTATGTGCTGATGACTGATTTCATTTCTTCATTCAAGTTATACTTATATTGGGAATTTAATTATGGGATAGTCATTTTTATAGGGACTGGAAACACAGTGGCAAACAAGATAAAATCACTCACTGGTCTCTAGACATTATATTCTATTTGGGATGATGATCAATCAATAAGATACTTAAATGAATTAGATACTAAGTGCTATGATATCTTAGTGCTCCTAACGAAATGACAATAATAATGATAGAGAATTATATTAGGTACTGGCATGAGAAAGTAGGTGACAGCTATTTTACATCTCACGGTCAGGTCAGGGAATCCTTCTCATGAAAAGTCTGAGGGAACAGCAAATGCAAAGAACAGGTGACTTGATATTCCTTGATGATCAAAGAATGAAAGGATGACGGCTGGTATGGCTGAGATATGAGGATGGAGGGAGAGTAGTATGAGTAGGTTAAAGGTGTAGTCAGAACCTAGATAATCTATAGCAGTGTTGTCCAATAGAAATACACAAGCCACATATGTAATTCAAATTTTTCTAGTAATATTTTAAAAAGTAAAACAAAACAAAGTTAATTTTAATCATATATTTTATATAAAATCCAATATATCCCAAATATTATTTTTTTAGCATGTAACCAACATAAATTATTAATGTAGTTGTTTTTTGGGTTTTTTTAAGTCAAGGTCTCACTGTCACTCAGGCTGGCATGGAGTGGCACAATCATGACTCTTTGCAGTCTCAACTTTCTAGGCTCAGGCAATCCTTCCACCTCAGCCTCCTTAGTAGCTGGGACTAATTTTTTTTATTTTTATTTTTTTGTGGAAATGAGGTCTCACTATGTTGCCCAGGCTGATTTAAACTTCAGGGCTCAAACAATCCTCCCACCTCAGCCTCTCCCTCCCTAAGTGCTAGAATTACAGGTATTAGCCACCATGCCTAGCCTACTAATGTAATATTTTACTTTCTATTTTTTATTCTTAGTCATTGAAATCTGGTGTACATTTTGCACTTACAGCACATCTCAATTCAAGCCAGTTCCACTTCAAGTGTATAATAGCCACATGTAACTAGAGGCTATTGTTTTAGACAGCGCAGATCTATACCTTAGTATGGAGAGATTTTTTTATTTTCACTTTTGGCCAATCGGAAGCCATTGAATGGGTTTTAACCTGGGCAGCTTGGCGAGACCTCATCCCTACAATAAATCAAAAAATCAGCCGGGCGTGGTAGCGCGCGCCTGTCATTCCAGCTACTCGGAAGGCTGAGGCGGAAGGATCGCTGGAGCCCAGCAGGTCGAGGCTGTGGTGGCCAGGAGCGGCCACTGCACTGCAGTCTAGGCGACAGAGTGAGACTCCAACTCAAAAAAAAAAAACAAGGGAGCAAAATGATCTGATGTAGCCCCACTAAAATGTTAGCTCCATGAGAACAAGAACTTTGCTTTGCCCACTGCTGTGTTCCTAGCACCTAGAATGTGTTTGGCATACAGTAGATGCTCAATAAATATTAGTTGAATGAATGGATGAATGAATATAAGTGATAACTAAAGCCACAGAATTTACTCTTGCAATATAGTCTTACAAGTAACTGACAATCCTAGTCCAAGAACAACTTTTGTTTTTTATTTGTTTGCCTTTCAAGCAGGTTATAATTAGAAGAAATATTTTAAGGGGGCTGGTACCTTTTATAGTAATCTTTATAGGGTCTTATAAAAGCAACTGACTCCCACATCTCACAGGATAAGACCAAGCTATAATAAGAATTTTCACAATTCAAGGTATAAACAGTTCATGTTGCCATTAAATAAAAAGTACTGAAACATTCCCAGTAGGTTCACTCTATTTTATATGTGACTAGCTAGTAAAAAAAATCTGTGAAAGAGTGAAGTACTTATAGTCAGCTGAATAACACTGAAGACAGCAGAAACTTTTGCAACTTTCTCTAGAGGCTGTAGATTTGCTTTATTTCTGAATTCCTTCAAAAACACTGACACTAAAATTAGAGCAGCCAGCTTGTGTTTGGTTTACAGGGACTCATGCTGTCTTCCTACTCCTCCATCTGTCGAAACAGTTTTTAGGTGCTGGCATGGAACTACAACATGTAAGAACCCAACTTGCCACAGTCCTGGGATAAGCAAAAACCTTTACCAGAGATCTGAGTTAATTTAATTTATTTTGTCTGTATAGCACATCAATTTGGGTGCTTCACAGAACACACCATGACTTATGGCATCCAGAAGCTAGCTTCCATAGGGAAAATGCATAAAATAATACTAGCAAAAAAAAAAAAAGTGAAGATATGTTAGTATGATTTCACTTAATTTAAAGGCTATTTTCCCACTTGGTGGTAGAACTACAACTATTATCAGAGTAACTCCCATTCCAAAGATCCTACCAATGGAGCTTGTTTGGGGGAAATAAGATCTAAATTATACGGCCTATTCATATTAGAATATAAAAATGCTTATCTGGCCAGGCACCACAAGGTATCTAGTAACATTTACTTTCTTTTTTAGTGGGAATATTGTTGGTTATCATGTGATTGTTCCATGTAGTTCCTGCCTTCTTTCCTGCAACAATGGACATTTCTGGATGTTTCACAGCCAAGCAGTTTATGGTATTAACAGACTAGACTCCACAGGTAAGAAACAATTGACTTGGATACTCCTGTAACATTTCTGTATCAATACCTAAGTGAAACTCCTGATAGATCATTTCGGGATTCTTTTTAGGTCTTTTTAGCCATGTTGAATCAACTAGAATTGTTTCACTCATCTCCTTATATAGCTCCATCAGAGCTCTTGAATTACCAGGTTCATTGTCAATGAGCAGTAATATTTTGAAAGGAATCTTTTTTTCTAAGCAGTAGGTCTTAACAATGGACTTGAAATATTAGTAAACCCTGTTGTAAATAGACTGTTGTCATCTAGGCTTTGTTTCATTGGTAGAGCACAGGCGGAGTCAATTTAGCATAATTCTTAAGGATCATGAGATTTTCAGAATGGTAAATGAGCACTGGCTTCAACTTAATGTCACCAGCTGCATTAGCCCCTAACAAGAGAGTCAGTCTGCCCTTTGAAACTTTGAAGCCAGACATTTCCTCTCTAGCTATGAAAGACGTAGTAGCATCTTCTTCCAACAGAAGGCTGTTTTATCTCCACTAAAATATGTTTGTTTAGTGTAGCCATGTTCATTTATTACCTTAACTAGATCTGGATAACTTGCTGCAGCTTCTACATCAGTACTTTCTGCTTCACTGTGTACTTTTTTTTTTTTTTATTTTTTTGAATTGGAGTCTCACTCTGTCGCCCAGACTGGAGTGCAGTGGCCACCACTCCTGGCCACCGCAGCCTCGACCTGCTGGGCTCTGGCGATCCTTCCACCTCAGCCTTCTGAGTAGCTGGAATTACAGGCGCATGCTACCACGCCCGGCTGATTTTTTTATTTATTGTAGAGATGAGGTCCCGCTGCCCAGGTGGGTCTTGAACCCGCGGGCTCAGGCAATCCACTCACCTCAGCCTCCCAAAGGCACGGGATTACAGGCTGAGCCACCGAGCCCGGCTACACTGTGTACTTTTATGTTATGGGAATGGCATCTTTCTTTAAACCTTATGAACCAACCTCTGCTAGCTTCTAACTTTTTTCTGCAGCTTCCTTGACTGTCTTAGCCTTCATAGAATTGAAGAGAGTTAGGGTCTTGCTCTGGATTAGGTTTTTGGCTTAAGAGAATGTCTTGGCTGGTTTGATCTATCTAGACCACTCAAACTGTCTCCATATTGCAATAAAGCTGTTTGCTTCCTTATCATTCCTGTGTTCATTGGACTAGCACTTTTAATTAACTTCAAGAACTTTTCCTTTGCATTCACAACTTGGCTAACTATTTGGAACAAGAGACCTAGGTTTCGGCCTAACTTAGCTTTCAACATACCTTCTTCAATAAGCTTAATTATTTCTAGCTTTTGGTTTAAAATGAGAGACATGTGACTATTTCCCTTGAATACTTAGAGATCATTGTAGGGATATTAACTGACCTAATTTTAGTATTGTTGTGTCTTAGGGAATAGGGAAGACTGAGGGGAGAGAGAAACACAGGCAACATCTGGTCGGTGGAACAGTCAGAACACATACGTTTATCGATTAAATTTGCTGTCTTACATGCGTGTAGTTCATGACACCCCAAAACAATTACAATGGTAACATCAAAGATCAGTGATCATAGATCACTATAATAAATATAATAATGATGAAAAGGTTTGAAATATTGCGAGAATTACTAAAATGTGATACAGAGACACAAAGTGAGCATGTTATTCAAAAAATGGCATCAATAAATTTGCTTAATGTAGAATTGCCACATACTTTCAATTTGTATAAAGCCCAATATTTGTGAAGTGCAATAAAGCACAACACAATAAGGTATGTCTATACTAATTATTTTAATAAGAAGTATCAGCTGGGCTCGGTGGCTCAGCCTGTCATCCCGCACCTTTGGGAGGCTGAGGTGAGTGGATTGCCTGAGCCCACGGATTCGAGACCCACCTGGGCAACTTGGCCAGACCTCATCTCTATAATAAAAAAAACTAGCCGGGCGTGGTAGCGCGCGCCTGTTGTTCCAGCTACTTGGAAGGCTGAGGCGGAAGGATTGCCGGAGCCCAGCAGGTCGAGGTTGCGGTGGCCGGGAGCAGCCACTGCACTCCAGTCTGGGCGACAGAGTGAGACTCCAACTCAAAAAAAAAAAAAAAAAAAGAAATATACTACCAATTCTTAAAGGGGATTTACATAATTTTTATATTGTCTAGTCGTTTGGTTTGTTATAGGTTATATGTTCTCAATGTCTAATATCTATTTACACGACAGACCAAGTTGACTTTAAAGAACTTGACAATCTAAGTTGGCACTAACATACTTAGGTTTTTAAATGTATGTTTTAGCCTTCAGAACTTAAAATACATTTCTTTTTTAAAAAATATGATTTGACTTCACAGATCAAAAGATTATGAGTTGCAAATTAGGTTGTCAAGGATCTTTAAACTCTCCAATTATGCTTAAATTTTTAATCACCTGGGATTTCAACTGTGGCTCTCACTCCATCATGGGAGAGGGATTATAATTTAAAACTTTGGTATGTTAAAAAGACCATTTTCAAACAAGGACTTGTTTGAACTCCCCTAGGTGGGATGGAGGCCCCTAATTTAGGCCTCCAGATTATATTTGTGTGGCTCATGAGACACATTCAAGGAAGTTTCTGCTTTGATACTATTTTTCCTGTTTATAGAACTCAAAACACAGGGTGGAGATTTTTCAATTTTGATTTACTTATTAATATTGGTCAATTTTTCAAAGATAAAAGCCCAGCATTCTTCCATTTGCACTGAATCTAATCCATAAGAAACAGATGTATCACAGGATTTCCTTCCTCCCTTCCTAACAGAGAAAGGAAGGTGCTGCTTCTGTCAGATCCAATCTCTTAGTTTATTTTTCCTCCTTTGAACCAATTGTGCTGAGCTGCTGCGTGTCTCTGGGTATTGACTCCAAGAATATCAAACTTCTCCTTTGTAACCCTAGTATTATGATGTAAAACAAGATTTCTGAATGTTTCGTATAAAAGAAGATTTCTAATGGCACTGGAACTGTCTGCATCACCTGAACCGACAACGTCAAAGAAATACATACTCAAACTTTATACAATTCTAAAATGATTAGACTGAAAAGGACTCTAGGAAGACTGTTTTCTAGGCAAGTTTTCACATAGATACCTGATTTCCCAGAACTTTCCTGTGGATGCTTAGGAGTGGGTATTTATTCAGGATTGCTAAGACCTCTTTGTACTCACACTGAAACTGGATACTTTAAGATTTACTTTTCTTGCTGAAGTTCTTTGGCTTTCCTAGAGGTCTTTTCTTTTCCTTTCATTTTAGTGCTTTTAAAACTATAGCATGTGCCAAGAATAAACCATCTCATTATCCTCTACTGCATATTTGGTGTTTACTATATACCTGTATTGCATTCTTCATATGAAATCTGACTATTATTTTTCAATGAGATTTTTAGATTGTTGTTTATTATATTGGCTGCTACAACCTGGTCCTTAAGCTTCGTTTATAGCTCTTCAAGAGTTAAGACACTATTCAGGACTTTTCCCTGTACCCTCCAGAGACTCTTAATCTAAAAGGATCTTGTGAGATCTCCATTCTTAAAGATTATTAAAATAGATCAGAAAATTGGCTGGGCATGGTGACTCACAATCCCAGCACTTTGGGATGCCCAGGTGAGAGGATTGTTTGAGCTCAGGAGTTAGAGACCAGCCTGGGCAACATAGCCAGATCTAGTCTCTACAAAAAATAAAAAACTTAGCCAGGCATGGTGGTGCAGGCCCATACTCAAGAGGCTGAGGTGGAAAGATCACCTGAGCCCAAGAGATCAAGACTGTGGTGAGCTGTAATAGTAGTACCACTGCACTCCAGCCTGTGTGACAGAGTGAGACCCCAATTCAAAATAAATAATTAGGCCAGGTGCAATCGCTCACACCTGTAATCCTAGCACTCTGGGAGGCGAGAGGATTGCTTGAGCCCAGCAGTTCAAGGCCAACCTGGGCAACATAGTGAAACCTCGTCTGTACAAAATTAAAAAAAAAAAAATTAGCTAAGTATGCTGGTGCATGCCTGTAGTCCCAGCTACTCAGGAGGCTGAGACGGAAGAATTACCTGAGCCCAGGAGGGTTGCAGTGAGCCTGGTCATAATAACTGCACTCCTGCGACAGAGTGAGACCCCAACAACAACAACAAAAAACTAAACTAAATAATTTAATTTAAGAGAGAAAATGATCTGTGTATAGTGATTATGGCATAAAGCAGCTGGAGGCAGGGTTTGAGTAAATAGACTCCTAAGATCCTTTTGAGTTCTAAGATTTGAGAATTCAAGTCTTTGCTTAAAAGAGTTTAAAGAGTGTTTATGTCCTACCACTTAAAAAATGTTCATGTACTAGATAGATAATATTATTTGCAGTACATTCTTTACTAGCTTTTCTCTTTACTGATAACACTATGGTTTATATAAAAATGTGAGCATATAAACTTTCATATATCATGTTCTGAGTTAAAACAATAGTGAACACTAAAGAATGTTATGACTTTTTATTTTCAGGTGTAAACGTCCTACTTTGGGGCAACTTGTCAGAGATAGAAGAGAACACAGATGAAGATGTGTTAAATATCTCAGCAGAGGAGTGTATTAGATGAATGGAATTATGACATATAATATTCAAAACTTTTTTCTATTTAAAAATATATTAATGGATCAACTTTAAAATTGCTAGTAACGGTTTACCAGTGATTTATTTTTTTGGAAAACAAAATGAGGCACTTGTTGATTTATTTATATGCTGACTCAAATTAATTACCTCAGTTTAATTTAAGCAGGTGGAGTTGTTCTTTTCTTCTTTTTCTACTTCTTCCTCCCCTACCCTACTGCCCAGTATACTCTTAAATTTGGATAGGAGAAGATTCTTTCACATGTCACTCAGTTACCTCCTAGTCTGGGGGAGGTTTTGTAAACTTGATGCCAGATACCAGTAATTTTACATTCCTGAATAAAAGGCATTAGTACCCACACATATGTCAACCTTGCATATATCAAGCTCAACTGAGTATTAACGGGGTTTTAAAAAACAGGCTGTTAGGTTTCCATGGGTACAGTTTCTCATATGTTATATTAGTGATAACTGCTTTAATATAGAACAGGAGTTTGTGAATCAGCAAATGGAATAAATTAAAACTTAAAATATATGAAAGAATCCTCTTGATTTTTCAGCATGATGTCAGATAAATGAGTTTGTCAGAAAATTATCAATATATACTGTTTAGCAATGTTATTTATTTACATTCTTCTAAAGCCATTATGGATATTGTATTATGGAAAGCCAGATAAACAGATAAACTGAAACTTAAGTTGTCCTGTTCCCAAGGGTTTTCTCTGTGAATAGCAAGTTTTAGATGAATAGTCTCAGTCCCAACCCTTAAATAGAAAAAAACTGAAGAAGTGATTTGCTTAACCCATTGTACATTATAGAGTTGTTTGTTTTGTTTTTTTAAGCTTCATTCAGAGCCACATAGGAATTTAAAACTAGGATAGTGTTGGATTCTGATTTTATGTAAAGCCAAAATAAATGTATCTCTTGAATTAATATCTCTATTGTAGGCATTTTGTCAATAGTAATATCAGAACAGACGGAGTTGCTATTTTGTATTTACAAAAAGTTTGTTCTAAAAATGACCATCCTTTCTTTAATTTTTTATTACACACCCTTATCTTACCTAAAACTATAGAGAAATAGTATATAAAATATAGAATATAAGACTAATGTTTTTTGAGTACTTACCGCGTGCCAGACACTAAGTGCTTTATACATTTAACTCACTTAACTCCATACAACAAATCTATGAGGTAAGTACCATTTTTTTTTTTTTTTTTTGAGTTGGAGTCTCACTCTGTCGCCCAGACTGGAGTGCATTGGCTGCTCCCGGCCACCACAGCCTCGACCTGCTGGGCTCCGACGATCCTTCTGCCTCAGCCTTCCAAGTAGCTAGAACTACAGGCGCACGCTACCATGCCCGGCTAAGTTTTGATTTATTGTAGAGACGAGGTCTTGCCAATTGCCCAGGCGGGTCTCGAACTCGCGGGCTCAGGCAATCCACTCACAGCCTCCCAAAGCGCGTGATTACAGGCTGAGCCACCTGAGCCTGGCAGTAAGTACCATTATTATTCTTTTTTTTTCTTTTCTTTGAGTTGGAGTCTCGCTCTGTCACCCAGACTGGAGTGCAGTGGCCGCTCCCGGCCACCGCAGCCTCGACCTGCTGGACTCCGGCAATCCTTCCGCCTCAGCCTTCCAAGTAACTGGAACTACAGGCGGGCACTACCACGCCCGGCTAATTTCTGTGATTTTATTGTAGAGATGAGGTCTCGCCAAGTTGCCCAGGTGGGTCTCGAACCCATGGGCTCAGGCAATTCACTCACCTCAGCCTCCCAAAGGCGCAGGCTTACAGGCTGAGCCACCGAGCCCGGCTATTATTCATTTTTTTTTTTTAACTGAAAAGACAGATGAGACAGAGAGAGATTAAGTAACTTGTCTAAGGTCACACAGCCGGGCAGAGGTGCCCAGACAGACTGACTCCAGAGCTCTCTCCCCCTAATCTTCAGGCTATATGGCCTGAGCACCTCCAGATGTGAATTATTTATGATCTTACTTTGCCAGGATACATACTGGGTAACTAACTACATTGTAACTACTATATAGGTAAGGCCAGAGGCGACTGATGGGAAAGTTGAACAAACTTTTATTGGGTCTTAGGGTAAAAGTGACCTAAGGGCATTAAAAGAATCATTTGCTGTAAGCCAAGATGAAAGATACTTCAGGAAATGCTGTCACACCCACCTGGAAAAGTCTTCCAAAAGTTTTTCACACTGACCTTCAACACTGATGCAAGCAGTTCATCAAAAGAACCAAAGGAATGAGTGTGGAACAATTTATTTTGGGATTTGGTTTTTTGGTTTTGTTTGGGATTGTTTTTAGCCTCTCAAATTTTTTCTCAAACAAGTAGGGCACAATGGATAAGAGAGAAAAATATGTACGTTTTCAGTTAACTTGTTCAATTAGAGAAGAAAAGTTTAATGCTAGAGTAGGGAATGTGGCAAGTTTAAAATTCAATAGAATTAGTCTGGTTTCTGTTCAGCTCATGCTTTCAAAGGCTACAGTTGACTGAGAGGTTCTTTGAAGAGCAAAAGCGACAGAGGTCCACTGATTGAAGCAAGCCCCAAATGTGATTTGGGTCCAACCGGAGAATATTCCAAATTACTCAGCTACTTTTGGCTAACTGGGTTATGGGAAAACCAATTTTAAGTAGAAAATAGATTAATAAAGTTTTATCTAGAGAAATATATTCATGATACTGTTTGTTTAGAGTCAGAGTCTCCGTCACCCCGGCTAGTGTACAGTGGCTCAATCATAGCTCACAGCAGCCTTGACCCCCTAGTTTCAAGTGATCCTCTCACCTCAGCATCCTTGAGTATCTAGGACTACAGGCACACACCACCATGCCCAGCTAAATGACACTCGTCTTTTAATAAAAGCAAAATATATATACTCTGATAAGACCAAAGCAGAATCACATATGTGGATTTAGCATACACTTTTTTTTTTTGAGGCAGAGTTTCACTCTGTCTCCCAGCCTGAAATGCAGTGGCATGCTGCTCATGGCCACCGCAGCCTCGGCCTGCTGGGCTCAGGCGATCCTTTCATCTCAGCCTTCCAAGTAGCTGGAACTACAGGCTCACACCACCGCCCCCGGCTAATTTTTTGATTTATTGTAGAGACGAGGTGTCGCCAAGTTGCCCGAGCCCATGGGTTCGAGACTCGCCTGGGCAACTTGGTGAGACCTCATCCCTACAATAAATCAAAAATTAGCCGGGCGTGGTAGTGCGCGCCTGTAGTTTCAGCTACTTGGAAGGCTGAGGCAGAAGGATTGCTGGAGCCCAGCAGGACGAAGTTGCGGTGGCCGGAAGCAGCCACTGCACTCCAGTCTGGGCGACAGAGTGAGACTCCAACTCAAAAAAAAACAGACTGTTCCCAAACCCCTGGGCCCAGGCAATCCTCTTGCCTCTGGCTCCCAGAGTACTGGGATTACAGGTGTGAGTCACCGCTCCTGACAACATACACTTTCTAAAACATCCATCTATGCTTTGGTCTTCTTTTAATATTTGATTCAATTCAACAAACCTGTATTATTCTCCAATAGTGTGGCAAAAATTGCGCAATGACATGCTCTCACTTGCCTTCAGGGAGTGCACAAGTTAACTGGGGAGAGGATAGAACCCCATGAGTCCATCTTATTCATCAGGTCAAGTGATTTAACAAAGGCATTCTTAAAGTGCTATGACTGCAGAGATGAAAGAACAGTCATTCTGAGTAGTAGGAGAAGGAGTTGAGAAAACTACTGAGAACTGATACTTGAGACAGGTTTTGAAGCACAGTTGAGTCTGCAGCCGGGTTCGGTGGCTCAGCCTGTAATCCTGCACCTTTGGGAGGCTGAGGTGAGTGGATTGCCTGAGCCTGAGGGTTCAAGACCCACCTGGGCAACTTGGCGAGACCTCATCTCTACAATAAATCAAAAAATGAGCCGGGAGTGGTAGCGCGCACCTGTAGTTCCAGCTACATGGAAGGCTGAGGCGGAAGGATCGCCGGAGCCCAGCGGGTCGAGGCTGCAGGTGGGCATGTAAAAGTATCTTGTTTATTTGGGAAATTATAAGTGGTCCCCCATACTTTCCAAGACAAATAATTTGAATTAATTAGAAGATGAATCTAACAAGAAAGGTTAGAATCACTTTGTGAAGAATATTCTATGCATTGTAAGTTTAGACTTGATCCAGTAGCAATGTGGAGTTACTGAAGTTTTTTTTGTTTTTTGTTTTGGTTTAATTATAGATGGGGTCTTGCTGTGTTACCCAGGCTGGTCTCAAACTCCTGTGCTCAAACAATCCTCCCGCCTCTCCTCCCAAAGTATTGGGATTACAGGCGTGAGCCACCTGTGCCTCACAGGTTACTGAAGTTTTTGAAGTTTTTAAGCAGGAGAATAAAATGACCAAATTTAGGATAATAGCTCTGATGGTAAAGTATAATCAAGTTTAGTTTCTTTTTTTTTTTTTTTGAGTTGGAGTTTCACTCTGTCACCCAGACTGGAGTGCAGTGGCTGCTCCCGGCCACCGCAGCCTCGACCCGCTGGGCTCCAGCGATGCTTCCACCTCTTAATGTACTTTCTTTGATGCACTTACATACTTGATCATGGAAATTATATTTATTGCCTTTACCCTAAGAACCCATACAGCTCTTTAAGTTCCCAGAATATCTTGTATTTCATGGAGCCTCTGGTTTGCTGCGGGGCACTGCTTTTTTTTCCCTTTTCCATCTTATCATTCCTAGAGTTCAAGAAAGGGGCAGTGAGTCATCAGCTCAACCACCATGGGTTTTTCTGTGGCTTTATCTTTTTCCTCAAGCCAATTTCTCAACCTCAAATTCAGGCTCTCATGAGGTATCTTGGGTGGAACCTAATCTTAAAGCCATAATATTTTGAAGAATCAATGACTCTGAAAACCAGCTCCTTAAATATTAGTAATTTGAAGAGATTACCCCACAAGGAACTGATCTTTTGACCTCTGAGTCACAAGTGGCTGATTAAGAATAATCTATATTGCTTTTCTTTGATGAGGAAGTGACCATGATATGTAAACCATGATCTAGAAAACTAATCAGAACACAAATAAGGAGTGAGGGAAGATAGGTGAGAATAAGGATCAAATAGTCTGTATTCAGTGGTGAATTACT